TTGCGCTAGTAATGTTGTGGAGTTGTATTTTGTCTCGCATCAATTATATCGTCAGTTATATCGTTATCGCAAATTTTCAAATATATATCGTGATAAATATTTTTGGCCATATCGCCCTGCTCTACTACACATTACGTCTTAAAAACCTTGTGGATTATTGGAATTATAAAGAGAATACTATAGGGGACTAAATTTTAGTTTCTTTAATGCTAATTGTATTTACCTAGCAGTTTCACCCAGCTGAACAAATAAACTGCAAATTAATCCACTCAAAAACATAGAGTTAACTTGTTCATAGGGGATAATCTGATTTCTTGGGTTTTCTCAGAGATACTTTACCTTGGGTATAAGCTATCATAATGTTTATAAATCTGATTTTAACCACATTGAATTGATTTGAATTTGATGTGTATAACTGCCACATGCAGCAAAAAGGAAACATTAGTTATGAGGTTAATGACAGTTTCCAAGCAAAATGTATACGGTGAGATTATCACCAGGCCAATTATTTGATTTTACGCTGTTTAGATTTGAGTTGACGGCTCTGTGGAACATAAAAGTGTCTGATGATTATTCTCTTCAATACATCATGTCAACCAGTTAACCTTAGAAAACTAGTCCTGTTAGCTCTCAGTGTCAGTGAGGAATACTCTTTGAGAGTTTTGGCAAAATACTTAAAGACTTTCTTTTCATTTCATTTATTTATTCATTTCACACTTGGTACAACAGATCAAACAAACCAACCACACTTTCTATCAATAAAGCACTACAACCATGTGTGAAAAGGAGCAGGAAGAAGAAAAAGACTTTCTTTTCAATTGCAAGCTGTTAAAGGAACTCGTAGCAATAAAACTGACAATGAACGTGATATAAAGAAACTACCACAGCTACAAACAGGTAAGCCAAATCTTTCAGAAGGTCAGGTTTGGCCCCCGGGGACATGACATTGACATCTGTTTGTGTTTTTGCTGTATAATCAGCTATTTCCATAAACGTACTTTCATTACAAAAATGTTTTGAATAAAGACCAAATCAAATGAGGAACCTGTAAATAGAAGTTACAAAATGTTAGCCCGCTTTCTATCACGCCACATTTCTTACCTTTGATCTTGTATCTGCACTAATCTAATTAATCTGTTGATTAGAAATATAAACTACCACATCAGCGGTCCATTAACTTAGCAGCCACACCTATTAACAGTTGAAGAATAACAATAAAATCCATTCAGATCCTCTCACTCAACTCTCTCAAGCAACAATTATATATCTTCAGTTGTTGACCTTTTAGTGTGGAGTCACTGACGTTACAATCAGATCATCGCTGATCTGATTGTAACGTCGTCAACTGTCCTTTTGAGTTTCACAAACCTGTCCACGGACCCATCTCTTATCTCTTATCCCACACCTCTCTGCTCTTTATCTGTTTGCAATTTATCCACTGCTGGATTCAAAAAACAGATATTGTTTAGTTTCTTTCTTTTACTTTGTTTCATGTTGGAAATTAATAAGTATATTTTTGAACAAAAATATGGTTTATAAATAAACTGTATTGACTTATTTTTAGCTTTGGTCAAATTAAATAGCAGCATCAGTTTGTTAGAGCTTCGGTAAAGCCCGACCAAACTGGACCATGAATAAAATAAGGCTTGATGAGTCGAGGAAATCACAGTATTGAAGTGAAAGCATGGAAACCAGTAAACTAATAAAATTTATTATCTTAGTATTTCTGATACAAAACTAATAGCTGTACCTTCACTAGCTGAAGCAGATGTTCTCCCCTCTCTGAGCCCAAATCTGTCTGACATTTGAATTTTTACATTGCAGTTTAAAGTGATTTGCATCAACTGCTTTTTGGCAGTATTAAAAACAAGAAAAATTAAAACAACACCCTCGATAACAGCTTTGTAATGAAAATATATGGGGCTAATTTAAATGAGTGTTACTATTAGAAATATCAGGCACACAAAAATGACCACTATGACTGACAGATTAAAAAAAAAAAGGAAAAAAAGGAAAATTTCTGAGCCAGAAAAAGCTGGCAGACAGCTGGACGTAGCAGGGAATGTTAGCTCAGATCAGAAGACAGCTCACTTTAATGAAAACGAGCTCACAGTTCTTTGAGTTTTCAAAGTTAAAGTCACAAATGAAAAGAACACAAAACTAAAACAAAAGCAACACAGTAAACCACATGAGAAAAATTCAATTACAACAGTTCTGTGCTGGAAATGTTAAGTAGAAATGAAAAAAATGACACCTGTAATTTGTATATTTTTAAGAAACAGTCACCAAATAAAAGGAAAGTAAGTATACATTCAACTTTGTGAACCTGAACCTTGTGTTGCACTTTTTTGCAAAAAAAAGTTAAAATTTTCTGCAAGTTGACTAATCAGGGAATTATGTCATTGATTGCACTGTTTTAAGTTTACAGGTCATCACATTAGTATGAACCTCTCTAAAACCTTACATACAAACTAAACATAAAAGGGCAGAGTCGCCTCTATTTGTTAAGGAAACTAAGATCTCCCGGCATCCGCAGTAAATTGCTGGAGATGTTCTGTCAGTCTGTAACTGCAAGTGTGATTTTCTATGCTGCGGCCTGCTGGGAAGACAGCATCAGAAACATGGATGCAAGGAGGCTGGGCAAAGCAGTGAAGAAAGCTGGCAGATTGGACACACTGCGGGTGGTACAGGAACAGAAAAACATCAGTACTGGATGATCATTCGCACCCACAGCCATCAGGCTTTTAAATTCTCATACAAATAGGAAATGAGTTATGTCAGACACTCAAGTTTCCCTTTGGGATCAAGAAAGTTGTTCTCATTCTTATCAATGCAAATGTTCTGGCAGGAAACCCAATGTTCACCAGCTGAACAATGAAATGAAACTTGACTTTTAAACAGTCCAAGAATGAGCACATAAGAAAACCAGCGAGCCTTCATCTCCTCTTTTGAATTCAGTTTGTAATAACTTCTGTGCCCTCGTCCTTTCTTTTCATTAGTACATTTTTATTTGTATTTTTTCCTCACACTGACCAAATTTTCTCACAGAATAAATAAATAAATAAATAAATAGACAAAATTATCCAAAGATAAAAACAAACAAATAAACAAAAACAAACGGTCAAAAGTTGGAATCAGCGCGCCAAGGAGTTTCGCCTGGTGGTCACGTGACTTCCATCCTAGGATACCTGTGAAAAGTCGGTAAAAGTCAGATTTCTGAGGCTTGCGATCATTTTATGTTCATTATATTCATTATTTATTTATCGAAATGGTTTCTTAACTTTGTTCATAAATATCTAATTATAAATTATTTTATAAATGCCTGATTAGTAGCCAGCGAATGTGGCTAAATTTTTAGCTAACTGTGCAGCAGAAAAATGGCGACTAACGGTCGTGAGGAGGAAAACACTGCTGCCGCTGCCGATGCTGCGATCTGGAGGCAAAGGCTGCTCAAATGCTGGAACTTTGTCCTGGTCAACAAGTTTTTGTTCCTAAGTGTGTTGGGGGTTGCTGGTGGTAAGTGATGACTGGTTAACCCACCAGTTAGTTTGTTCTGAGCGGTATGGTTTTGTGCTGCTGTTAAATGTATTTTAATTTCACTTTATTATGATTATTCCAGGTTATTGTTTAGCTGCACAGCGCTCTGTGACTAAATGTCTGTGGAAGTGTTTTATAAATAAACTTACAGGGTTAATTTACTTCTGATGCAAGTCAAACAGTATGAGGCAAGTCAACAGGCTTAATTACTGAATTTTAATCAGGGTAAATGTGAACTAAAATAACGTCAATATTAATTGCGCATGCGCCAGTGGTTTCTTTATTTCCTTCTTTTTCTTTTATGTTGATAGCAGCTGTTATTAAAATGTTTAGCTGGTCACAGATGATCAGAACTCTCTCTTTTTGGCATATTTGTTGCAGGTGAAAATCCCACCAGGTTAAACAGCTACATCTAGTGGGCTAATGGAGCCATCGCAGGTGTTTTCACCGTTTCCACTGTTGACAGTTGAAAGCTGCTGATACCTCCTTGCTGTTGAAATAATTCAAATAAAGTTTACATGGGAACATTAGAAAAGGTTGCTCCTGCAATTTATTTACTAAAATTAAATATTACAATAAAACAGAAAGAATAAAAAAGAAATACAAAATAAAAACCAAATGTGCTAGTTTATACCAAAACAGCACTATTTCTTTTTTAAATTGCAAGTGTAAATAAAAATACTCATTGTTCGTTTAAAAAATCTAACAGACAGGGTTTACACTGATGATTCATTCAGAGTAACTTTCATTTTTATCCAAATCTTTTACAAAGTTGTGGGATGGAAAAATTAGCACACTGAAGGCTAAAAAACAAAAATGAAGGGTTTCTGTCAGAAGTGACTAACTACCAGATAGGTCTGTTATCTAAAAAAAAAGTCTTCTTTGGGGGGATTTGGAACAATGGAGATATATAAATCCTTCAGTTGAGTCTCATTGTTTTAGGCAGTGAGAAACTGTATTTGGTATAATCACAGTTGGCTGTGTGTATACTGTTTTTTCAGGCTTCTGATCTATGGCCTGGTGATTCTGCCAATGATCTTTTTCTTGTTTGTGAGGTGTAACCCCCTCCCTGTCATGAGAGCGGTCACTTTAGTCACTGCAATGCTGATCTCATCCAGGTAAGACACACACTGAGGGCGGTGTTCTGTTGTAATCAGAGGGTAAGTTCAGATGTAATCCTGGATTTACAGGCTTATGAAGGTGGTTCACTTTTTCCTTCCTGGCTTCTGTTAGGCTTTATTTATGACACATTTTTCCATTTTCTCAATACTGCTACTCGTGTTGCAGCCAGTTTCTATTATTAATTTCTGACATAGTCTGACCTTCTTTGTAAAATATGTTGGTTTAAGTGAAGCCAGATAAAGAAAAGGTTTTAGCACAGGCCCCACAGCTGACCGAGTAAATGTTTTATAATTCCATAGCTGTTCAAGCACTAACAAATGATGTGCTGCCTCTCACAGCTCTGCTGCATTGCCCCTCATGTTTTTGTGCTGTGAGGAGAAACTGAGGATCAAAAGAAAAGTCCCTCGCTTCATGCTGCCCATCTGCACCAGCACCAACATGAACGGAAGCATCCTTTACGAAGTGGTCGCAGTCGTTTTCATCGCCCAGCTCAACCGCATCAATCTGAACTTGAGCCAGTTAATTACCATTGCGTACGTCAGTATTTCTGTTGTTTCAGGCCTTTAAAAATGCATCATGCAGACTTTGAAGATTCTATATACTTTGCTTTGGTGTGCAGTGTGATGGCAGCAGCCACCAGCATCGGCGCAGGAGGGATCCCAGCTACAGGAGCAGTGACCACTCTCTTTGTTCTGACAGCGGTCGGCCTGCCTGCTCAGGATGCCTCTATTCTGGTGGCTGTAGAATGGTTCATGTAAGTTTCGCTTTCTGTTCATTTTAATGTCTGACACATTACTACTGCTGCCTTTTCACATCTTAAAAACTGTTTGCTGTGTTTGTGTAAAGTTCCAAAGATCTCAGCAAATTCCTGAAGTCCTGCAGTAACTCGAAGTAACTGTTTTGTGGGGCTTTATCATCTTGCATGTCACTGTGGAGGAATTTCAGCCCACTCTTTTCAACAATGCCGCTTCAGTTCATTCAGGTTTTCAGGCATTCATTTATGCACAGCTCTTTTTCAGCCCAGTTCTAGCTGTCGGCAGATGGCCTCACATTTGACTCTAGAATAGTTTGATATACAGAAGAGTTCATGGTTGGCTCAATGACTGAAAGCTGCTGAAGGCCTGGGGCTGCAAAACAAACCCACATCATCACCACTATGATGATTGTTCATATTTGTATTGATGTGCTATGTTTAGCTGTTCATGTGTTTGAGGGTTGAAACTCATTATCAGAGTTCAGAAAGAACGATTTGCTGACTGACTGCGTTCTGTGGTCATTCTTTCTTTCAGAGATCGATGCAACACCATCGTCAACGTCTCTTCAGACTGCATTGGTGTGTCGATCATCTATGAAGTGTCCAAAAAAGAACTGGAGGAGCACAGACAGGAAATGATACAGTAACTATGATGACTTCTTTTCTTTTTAACCATAAGATTTTCTCAGAGGTGCTTAAGGCCCATTTAGGATTTGTTGTTGTTACGATATGATAATTTAGCCTTTTCTTTTTTTGTGTCCGTTTGGATCTTTAGCCACCAGAATTGTTGTCTTAAGGCCAAGAAAGATGCCAAGCGGATTTATTTTACCAAGTGGATCATCATGGCCTTGCCATATTGGTCCATTTGATTGACCTTTATTATAATTATGAATTTATTTTATTTTCTGTTGCTACAAACAGGACAGACATGACTGGGGGATAGGACAGGGAGAAAGAATGAAAGAAAGAGAGGGAGAGAAAGAAAACCAAAGGGGAGAAGAGACGGTGAGAAGGGGGGAAAAACAAAAAAACAAAACAAACAAAACACCTGGATCACCTGTATGGAGAAAAAAAAACAGAAGAGAAAGCAAACAACAAAGAGCAACATAATAAAAAAAACAGCACCATCACAATAAAGCTAGCAGTAGATAACAGTAGATACTAAATAATAAACGATATTGTGCAGCACGCAAGATAGACAGCACACAATGTGCTTTGAGGCAGCAGCCAAGAAAGCTGTAGTCCGCGTCTGTGTACACCTGTGTGCATACCTGTGTGGATCAGCATGCTTGTATTCCAAAGGTTTCTCCATGTAACGATCTGCTAGGGAGTGTGGGGAGCTACAGCCCCGTCCTCCAGGGTATGAAGCAGGTATGGAGGAGATCCAGGCCCCAGATATCCAGAGGCCCCAGAGTACAAGGACCCGAGGAGGACCACCAAAGGGGGGGGGAACCTTGCCTCCTGCTGGGGAGCTCCATATTCATATTGTCCAGTATGCTCCATCTGTCTTTACCCCTCACAGTCCCCGCTCGCTATTCTCACCTCCACACTCTCCCTCTTCTTCCTTTGTCTTCGGTCAACAGTGCCAAAGTTTACAAATTTACACCAGCACCTTAAATGTGTCATGCATGTGCACATCTGCAAAACTTACAGCTGCCTGGGATTTGTGGCATTGTTGTTCTGATTATGTCATAGCCATTGGCACAGCACCAAAATTACAGAATCTGGTCCTCAGAGGACTGCCTGTTCTGAGATCAGTTTCACCCACCATATTTTGAAATATTTAGCAGTTTAGTGACTCATATTAATATATCCCTTAATCTTTTCCTATTTATTTTGGCCATAGTTGGAGTGAATATCTGACTTTATGGATGATAACCTGTTTGTTTATGTGTCTGCATGTTTCCACATACATCTCTGTATTCGGCTTTTATTCTAACTATGAAGCACTTGGGTTTTGAAAAGTGCTTTACAAATAAAGTTATTATTATGTCAAAGCAGCTACAGTTCTAACATCATGCCTTACCACAAACCAAAAAGGTGAAAAAACAAAAACTAGTTGAAGTATTAGTGGTGTCCCTCAACTCACCTGTGCTCAATAAACGGAATGAGAAAAAAAGAAAAGTCAAAAGATTATGGCCAAAAATTTGAACAAGTTAAAAAAAATCTTAATCTTCAGGCTGCAGAGACACAAAGATTTCAACAGAACAATTACCGGTTCCCTCAACACGGGGAAAGCTAAGCACATGCATTATTTCTCTATCCTCTCAGGGCATCTCACAGGAAGGGTAGAGTAGCCACAAGAGACTGAAACCCAAAACAAAACGGACACTAAAATAGAGCAGATACACTGAAGACACTGCGCTCACTGAGGAAACACAATATTTTCAGGTCAGTGCCAGTCACTTGGGTCAAATTTAGGACCAACATACTGACTGTAAGAAATAGATCTACAGTAAGTCCTCATTAAAACCACAGTAAGTGGCAGTGTTGAGGGCATACGTCCAGAATACCTTTTTCATTTTGTCCCACCAGTTAGCTGACCTGAGGCTGCTGTGGCTGAAACGCTCCCAGGATTTGCTTCCATAGTTGGCCATAAGTTTCCTATACGAATGATCCTTCACCTTTGACCTCTGTAAACAGTGCTGAGATAAGTTTTGTGGGCTCAGTCATTCATTTTGATTTATTATGAATTAACCTTATATTTTTAATATTCATACCAACATGGGGAAGCAAAATGCTCATCTCGACGCTTTAAAATGGGATCAACTGGAGCCAGCCTCAAGTGGTCACTGGAGGTACTGCAGTTTTTGGCACAAGAGGCTATGATGGCTTTTTGCGGTTTTCCTCTGTGATCGATTAGTTTGATGTCATTTTAAAGATGCAAATGCAGCATTGACATATCTTCATGTGAAACATGAGACAGAGGTTTTTTTCATGTTAAGCAGGGAAATGACGGCAAAGTCAGACAAACTGATAAACTTTATTTAAAAAATAAGTATAAAAAGTCATACAAAAGACTATAAAGAGAAAATTTAACTCACAATAATCAAAAGGCACAAGTAACCAACTTGATAAGCCGCACACTGCACACACTGCAGCCTGTTTGGTTTTGTTAGTTCAAAGCTTTCAACAGGCAAAAGTCGTAAAGTTTCTACCAAACAAAATCCAAAGATTCATTTCGTTCACAGCATTTAAAAAAAAGATCTGAAGCCCTGACAGGAAACAACAAATCTGTGCTGCTGGAGTTTTAGGTGGAGTCCTCCTTCCAGCGAACATCGACTCCACTCAGAGGGCATCCAGACCAGCTCTGTCAGCCCTCCTTCCACCAGACCTCCGCAGTCCTGGATCAAAGTTGAGGCACCTCACAGAGTCAGGATCCTGGACCGACGTGGCTTTGCCTAACCATTCCTGCAGAGCAGACGATTTTCAGGGTTTAAAGGCTGCTTCGGGGAGTCTCAGTCGTTGGCAGCTAGCCCGAAAAGCTCCAGCAGCTCCTTGTTGTCCTCATCGATGAGATCAGCCGGCTTCTCCCCGCAGTCGTTCTCCAGCTCGGGGTCGGCACCCAGGGAGAGAAGAAAGCTGAAAGAAAGATAAACCGTCGTCAGTGAAAAAGATCACCATGCTTCAGTGTCAGGGAGCGTGACCTTCTACATCTGTGGAGCCACTGTAAACATGATGTCAGCCTCCTCCAGCTGGCTCACTGCGATTCGTGTGGCTTCCTTGGATTTGCATTGCACACAATCTTCCCTTAAGCTAAACTTTTTAACTATAAAGGAGAAAGTCTCGAGGCTCACCGTGCGATGTCTGGGAAGCCATCACTGCAGGCCATGTGCAGAGGGGTCCATCCCTCCTCGTCTCTCTGGTGGATATCTGCTCCATACTGGACCAGGAGCTTCACACACTCCAGGTTCCCAGACAGGACGGCCTCGTGGATTGCAGCCATGCCTGCTCAGAGAGGAAAGCAGGACACAGTTAGCGCACTGAATAAAGTCTGAGAAGAAACATTTCTACTAGTGTAACTGAGCCTTTCATTTGCGTGGCTCTCACCGGAGTGGTAAATGGTGTCGAGCGTCACTCTCTGGGCTCGGATGAAGCGTCCAATCCTTTCTAGCTCGCCCTGTCGCACATAGTCCTGGAAAAGGATGTCATTGGGGAAGTGGACACTTCGGATTGGCTTCAGAGAAGCAGCGCCTCTGCAGGTGATTGGGATGTCCTGGCTGCAAGGTTTGATTCCCAAGGTCTGGGATGCAGGGCAGTGATAGTATTTCATCATGGTCTCTGCAGAAGTTTTCAAATGCAGCAACTAGAAAAAGATCAGTCGGTCTGTTCTCAGTGTGGCTCTCTTGCTTTCTAGTGAAGAGTTCCTCTGAAGGCCCGGCCTCCCCGTGGGTCTTTTTATACTCTGTCGGGCTATTTTAGGATGCAACACCTCACAGATCCAGTGGCGAGATTTGGAAGATGAGTAGTCCCTCTGGCAGGCCGTCCCACTGGCCTGTCACAAGCTTCACGTCTCCAGACATTACAGCCAGTAACCCTTACCGCTGCTGTCACCCCCACATGCCCAGATGCTGTTCACTTAAAGATAGCGGTGACATCTTGCCAGCTGGGAGGGGGTGGGAGAAGATGGAGGCTTCTAGTAAACACCAGGCGGTGTTGGTGGGGGGGTCACAGAGGGGTAAGGTTGCTGGCATGTGGAGGCTGTTGACCAGTAACTGCCTGACACAAACAGTCAAGAAAGGACGACTGTCATCATGGTCATCATTATGTGTAACACAGGATGGGTAACTTCCAGATTACTGGGGTTTGCATCATCCTCTTTATCAGTAAGGCAGCACCGTCTTCCTCAGACTCCTTAAATGTGAAGATTTGCTTCATTTCACTTTAAGCTGTTTTTGTCTTTCGAGCTGTGCGATGCTAAAATACAGATGGATGAATTGCCTTGAAGTTTTGTTCAATGATAATCTCCAGATGAAAAATGTAAACACATTTGTGAAGTCCTCTGACTCCGCCTCTTTTAAATTTGTTGTTTAAAAAAAATGTTTCTCATCAAGTTTGGTATTGAGCCTGTGGCGGCTCCTGGTATCATGTAGAGTGACAGGGAAACACTCAATGCATTATGGGAAAGCCCCAGCAGCCTTTACCTATTGTAGAACAACTAAGGGATGGTCACCTGATACAGCCTTAACTACAAGCTTGGTGAAAAAGGAAAGTTTTAAGCCAAATCTTAAAAGTACAGCCTGAAAACTGAAGGTGATACACTGATTATTTAAGACCTTGCATGCGAAGAGAAAGATTTTAAGTTCTGGTTTTAACAAGAAGCCAATGAAGAGAAGCTAATATGGGCAAAGTAAGTAATAATAAATAAGATGAAGTAAGCATCTCTGCTTAGACAGCCTCCCCTGTGACTTGAATAAATGATGGCGTGGATGAAAAGTGAATGCATGGAGAAATAAAGCAGAATAAAAAAAAAAAAGCTTTCTGCAATAAAGAAAAGTCTGATGTGAGCCTTTTTTCCTGTCTGGCCCTCGCTCACTGACTGACTCATGGGCGTGTTACAGGATTCAGTGATTCATCATCAGATGGTGAGAATGAGACTGAGTGCCTGATCATTTTTAACCACAAAAATTCATCCTGGGGACTTTACATCAGCTAAACATGCACCGTCCTGTGTCCACAGCATAGTTTAATCAGTCATTTAAAAAGTTTAGAAACTGAACATCGATGAACAGGTCTGCGGCTCTCACCGAGGAGGGACAATCACACACTGGGGTTTTTTTTTATTGACTAGTTATTTGTTTAACCACTTAGTATGGAGTTTTGAGACCTTCACGGTGGAATAAGACAAACCAGAAGACAACCCAGCCTCTGGAGAATAATTAACCGAGCCACATTTTAGGACTGAGAAACTCCTCGCTCCAGTTTCGCAGGCCTCAGTTTGCTGACTGAAAGGCTGCACTGGGAGGGGCAAAGGGCTTGGACTGTTGACCCCACTGCTGACCTCCAGTATGCTGGCTACGTGCCGGAAAGCAGCACAAACATCAGTCAACGGGCACATTAGCAGCCCTGTGAGGCTGTACTGCATGTTCAGCTGATCTGTGAACACAAACAGCTGAAGACGTGCGCACACGATGCATTTCGACTTTGCTGGGATTTAATTTTAACTTTAAATACCATAAACATTATATGTAGGGTAGTTTTTATTTATTACAGCATTTCAATGAACTACACGTCTGTCTGTGCTATTGATGCGATTCCAGCATCCCAGTTTGGTCCAAAGTTACTTCAGTAATACCTGAAACAAAAACAAAAAAAAAAAATGCTGTTCACTGAAATCAAAAACTATATTTTAGAAAAATAGAAACTGAAAAAATATTGTACTAAGAGGTTGAAAAAGTGTTATAGTTTTAGTCTTTGAGGACACTGACATTTTTGAGTGTTGGCTTTGAGACTGTGGCTTTATCAGGACTCTGCCTCCTTTAATAATTCAAGTTTTAAACCTGTGACATAAAAGACTGAAAACACAAATCTGTAAAAGCTAAATCTACAGTTGTAACCTATAGATTCAACAAAAAGGAATTTTTGGTCATTTTCTGCACTTATTAATATAACTACATTATTATAGATCCTTCTATCTTCCAGGTCTTTATTTTTGCTTCATTTCATTTTTAATAAATCCCCATTTTGATTTTGGGTTTAAATTTATAATCATTTACTTTTGACTACTTTTTTCCAGATTGAACATTATCTACCGTATACAGTTGGGAAGTAGCGCTCATTTAGATCATGTTTGAAATAAATCGGTAGTGTGTAGTTTCAGTAACAAATAAAATACACAAAAAAAACAAAAAAAGGAAAAAACAAAACATGAGGCATTTCATTTTTACACTTTTTTTAAATTTATTTATTGGCCACCATTTCACGTTTTCCACATTAATTTGGATATGATGGAATGCTTCGTTAGGATTCCCCCTCCCACACCACCATCGCTGTTCAGCTGACATCACCTCGCTCTACTCAAGCTTCCCCTCCCTGCCCCACACACACACACACACACACACACACACACACACACACACACACACGCGCAAAGTAAGGGTGCTGCGTAGAGCCAAAAGGGATGCAGGAGGTACAGTATGGGTGAGGGGGTGGGGCTGTTCCAACTGTTCCCTCCCCGCTTCAGATATCAGACACGTCTCTCAGACCGACCCAACCAGTAAACTTAACCAATCTCTGTTTGCTGTAGTAAACACATGAATCTCTGATTAGGCATGAATGCAGTGCAACCCATCAGAATCCCCCTCCCTCCCACCCACCAGGTCTGAGAGCGTCCACACGGGCCAACTCTGCCCCAACCGGGCCAAACCGGCAACAGTTGGGCACAATGGTACATTATTTAAAAAAAAAAGAAAAGATGACAAGTCCTAAATAATAAAAAAAACTCAAAGTGAAAGCAATTAAATAAAATACGATTTTCCCCAAAAAGTTAACTTTGTTCCTTTCAGAATAGAGTCAGTAGCCGCGCTGAAACGAGGAGACAGAACCGAAAGATTTGGGAATGAAGAAATGACAGACCCCCCCCCACTGAAAGAAAGAAAATAATTGGTCTCGGCTACAGATGGGGGGCTCTTTGTGCTACACCATGGGGGTTATTTTAGTGAAAACATCTACAGGATGGCCCCTTTTCCCCTGAGAGATCAGTCCTTATAAAACCGTCACACAAACCTGTGGTCCTATCAGAGGGAGAAGAACACTGGCAGCAACCCGCCCCCCCTTTCATACAAACTTAGGTTACAACGCTCGGTTTGCCGATACTCACACTGAACAAATGAACAGCAACGACTCTTTAAAAGGAGGGGGGCGTGTGGAAAAAACAAACAATTTGAAAACTTTGAGATCAATGCCATTTTTTTTTCTTTCTTACATTTGGTTCAAAATATACAAGGCAGACAGCTGATGTGGAGCTTTGCAGACAAGGCATTGAGGTCTCCCACAGGAAATGGTGCACTGTTCCACAGGGTCCCGCCAGGTGGGACAAGACCAGTCTGAGCCAGAGGTTGGGAGGTTGCAGATGTGACAGGCAAGGGGGGGGGGAGAGAGGTTAAAAAAGAAAGAAAGAAAAAAAAAAAAAAAAAAGCCCTGCCATGCCAATGGTGGACTGACTAGCTGGCAGGCTGTTATCAGGCCAGCTTACTGACTGACTGAGAGGCAGTTAAAGGGGAATAATGAATGTTCACAGGACAGGGAAGGTCCACAAAGAAGTGAAGGTGGTGATGGTGACTGTTTGGGAGGGTTAGGGCGGGACTCTCCTCTCTCCGTTTCTGCCGACGTTTACAACTCATCGTGTCCGTCGTCGTCAGTGCCGTCCTCGCTATCCGAGTCGTCCTCCACGTCTTCCAAATCCTGCAGAGCAGAGAACAAGGGTTAGAGATTCAACAAAGTCCAATTTACTCTGTACCATAGAGCGTTTATAGCTTAAATATAAACTGTCAACATAAACCACTCAACGACATTAAAGGAACGCTTTAATTGAAAAATGCTGATATCTACTGATACAGTCAGAGTTAAAGTAAGACTTTGCTTATTGAGACAACTCAACAAATCCTGCTGCTGTGGCAAACTACCGAAAATAACCCCCGATGTCACCCTGAATCCCTTCATCACTAAACAAGACCTTGAGTCAACACCATCAGACACACAGCTTGCCATTTTGATGACATCTCTGCTTTACAGGGCATTTCTTGTGTCTAGTCTGAGGACAGGTGTGGTGAGGAGAGGTGTGGGATATGTGAAGATGCTAATGGTGACTGCTACGCTGCACGTGCTGCTTTTTTCCTGGAGGCTCAGCTCTCCAGGCGAAGCCCAGTAAACAGCGACAACAGCTGCAGGAGGCATTAGAGGACTGGGCTGCAATTAGACTTGTGTGAAGGGGGGGGGCGTGGTGGCAACAGTGGAGTGGGAAGGTGTCAGGAGAAAGTCTCCCATGCTAACGTGCACGCCAGGGTGACACAGGGAAGTACGGTAGAGTATCTCTGCATACATCGAGTTTCAGAAACTTCACCAAAGTCTTTATTTTCTTCAAGTATTTGAATCCATAGATGTCGTAATTCTGGCTTTTATCCAGAAAATTTAAACATACATTTTGATCAGCTGCTTACATCTGGGCAAGAAAACAGCTTTGCCTCAAACCTGCACCCAGACATCAGATTATTTGGACATCTACATCCGTGAAAGCTCAAATGCGATACCGGCGAGCATCTAATCGATGAGGTTCAACGGTGACCGCAAGAGTGCCGTCTGTGCACTTCAGAGCACCTCGGTTCAGAGGATCTCACCTCAGGTTCCAGGTCATCGTCATCATCTCCTGCGGGGGCACCGCCTTCTTTGCCGCCACTCTCCAGGAACTTGGTGAAGCCCTCAAGCGTTCTCTCCCCGTTGTAGTCGATCACCTGCAGATGAGACGTCATTTCAGAAAGAAAACCAAGAAAGGAAGAGTCTCCTCTGACTGATGTGCATACTAATCCTCATCCAAAAGACTTATTTCCTTTTGGAAAACACTACAAATAAAATTGGAAATAAAATCTTGTGCACTGAAAACAAATTTGATATAAATTTGTTCAAAGTTAAAAACTTTTCCATATTCGTTTCTGAGAAATGCACAAAAAGCATTTAATTGCAAACACTGAGTAGATTTGCTTATTTTATAATGTCCAAAGCTGCTCTATATGCAGGACAAAAGTAAAGATAGACGGTCAACTTTTGGAAAACCAGCAAATTTAATTTTAGCATTTTAAATCAGACATAATCATGTCTGTCATTGCAGCCACCTCCAGACTCCGCTGCATGCTTCCACTAATCAGTGTCACAGGCTAATCTGCAGACTTATTATGGGGTGACCCTGGTATATAGCACTCGTTTAAGATTCCTGAGAGAAAGTGGCACGAGCATGCCTGGCCAATAAAGCGCAAGGCATGTGCAGGCCATCTTAAAGTGAGTGAAGCCATCGAGCAGGAATGCTCCAGAACCGCACACCAACAAAATGCTGCAGAAACTTTCAGGAGTGGGCTCATGTTTCTGCACAAGGTTAACGCTGCTAAATCAGGAGGCAGTAATAGCACTGAGGTGACCCCAATAGCAATGATTTCAGATTCCAAGAACTCAGCAAAGACATAAATAAGATTAGTGTGAGGGTGGAAATGACTTCTGGGAGGGAGTTTCAGTCGTAACATGCCAACCGTTATTAAAACTGGTGTGGCGTTCGGGCCAGTGGGAATCATTTTCTAATGTTTATTAAAAAGTATCAGTATTAGTAGTCATTTGTTTTTAACTTGGATTCATCAGCTTTTTTTTTAACCCAAATGTGAACATAAATCCAAATTCAACATTGTTCTGTACTCTGAAACTATTGACCGACAAATAGGCCAGTAGCTGTCCTGACCACAGTTTTACTGAGGTCACAGATCAAGGAAGGCCAGGTTTCATTTCCTTCTCTAAACTCAGAACGTCCACGTCAGCCATCTCCATCTTTTACATACAGTCTGTTAAAGCAGTCAGCACTCACCTTGCGCTCTTCTCCTGCAGGGAAGAACTTCAAAGTGGGGAAACTGTGGACTTTGACAGCCTCAATCTCATTGGCTGTGGAGTCCATTTTGGCTACAATAGTGTCGGCGCTGTCCTTGTACTTCTCTCCCAGCTTCTCCCAGATTGGAGACAGCTGTTTGCAGTGTCCACACCATGGTGCATCTAAATCACCACAAAGATTATTAAAAGAAAACCAGAATTTTAATGGTGAATAATTTTTGATAAAAACAGTAACAACCATCAGCTCAGGGAAAACAATGTAACTTTTACAAAACTGGTTAAAAATGACACCCCAGGATGGAGTAAACAGCATCAGCACACTGATGCTTACCAGCTACGGTGGATATAAAGTAGCAGCTGACAAAATCCTTTCTGAAGCCACCGCAGGTTGTGTTTGAGTTGGGTTTGCGTGTCTGCAGCTATGTGCTGGAAGCCCGTCAATAGTGGATTCAATATCTAAGCTAACTTTAGCTAGTGTTGTTCACTGGGAGCAGAAAAGGCCCCGAGGTTACCTCTACCAGCCTGTGGACTGATTTTAAGGCCTTTCATCAAAGAGAGTCAAAGGAGGTTTAATTTTGTTAAAAGGTGTAAACTGCTCAGACACTAGCAGACATGTTTGCACTTATTTGTTTAGCATTTATTTGAAACCTCAAAATGTAATTCTATACTGCAGAAAGAAACTTTACTCAATATGCATGGAATGTTTTTCTTTTTATCTCAGTGAGTAAAATTCAGTTTGAAACGCTTTACAGTATAAAGCTAGAAACAAGTAACCACAGGGTGTGCATGCCATGTGCAGCCTCGGCTTCATGACCTGGCTCTATCCTTTGGCTGGCTAGAAAATGCATCACCTGTCAGGGAATATGGGGCCTTTCCTGATGTTCATACCTCAACATAAACCAGATATGGAAAAAAATGCTCCAAAAATAGTGCAAATCTGGACAAGGATCACTAACAAACAATCCTACAGCTAAATTTAACCAGAGCTTTTCAGCATCAAGTGTCTGGTAGCAAATTAATTTGCAGAGAGCGTGCATGAGTGAGCCTCGAGAATGAGCAGGTATCTGGCTTAGCTTGGGCAAAGCAAGACGATTTGAGTTTCAGACAAGGGGCTTTGCCAAAGCTCGCACCCAAGAGAGTGACTGCAAAAATACCCCATCGCCCCAACAGGTGAATCCCCCCCCGACCTGCTTGCCCCCACTTCTCATTTAAGGATATGGGAGATAAACCATGCACCATAAAATAAAAAAGGTTGAAATGCAGAAAGAAGGGAAAGCTCTTACAGAATTCCACAAAGACGTTCTTGGAGGGATTGAAGGCGACCTCCTCAAAGTTTTTGCCGACCAAAACCTTGACAGGGTTTTTGTCCCAGTCTTTAGGGATGTCCTGGCTCATGAGGTGGGGCTGTGAGAAACAGACAATCACTTCTTTAAAAAGCGAACTGTGGTTTGGAGAGAGTATTTAAAGCACATTCCTACAGGCAAGGATCACACAGATACTTTATGGCATTAAGCGGATTAAGGCTGTAATTGCTTGTAAGATTCCAAAAAGATGTTTGCACTCTGGATGTGGTCATGCAATCGCCTTCACTATGTGATTTATGGAGACTATTAAGTCCAAAATTAACATTTCTTGTGGCCAGAATAAAGTCTATGTATAGCGGTGTCCCTCACCTTGAGTTTGCCCTCAGTGAACAGTTTGCAGAACTGAGTGATGCTTTCTGCAGTGATGGCGTCGCTCTCTGGCTTGTACTTGGTCATCTCGTCCTCCAGAGTGATGAGGCGGATGGCAGGGCACTCCTCTTTCTTCAGGCCGAAGAACTCCAAGATTCGCTGGTTGTCGTCAATGTCACTGTCGATGAAGATGAACAGGATCTGGACAGAAGAGAGGGCGGAGTCAGTGAATGATTTTACTCAAAATAGCCCTCCTGATGCGTGCGTCAGGGTGTATACAGGTACAAAGAGCCAAGTTTAAGAAGTGTGATTAAATGTTTGCCAACTTTGGATGTTTACTGGAGAAAAAACAAAAAACACCTTCAAAAAGAAACATTTTTCACCATCTTTACCAACAACACATGTGTCTGCTTGGCTGAAAATACATTTTCAATAAAGCGTTTTCCTTGAGGTCTCCATATAAAAAACACCCAAATAACACGTTCCTTCATTGCAGGTCACTGATGGCTGGCTCCCTTCTGCTGGACACCGAGTGCTGCACCTTATTTTCTAGCATGATGGAGAATACCCACTCTTCCGATTGAGTGATGTGTACCAACTCTCAAAATTGCTTGTGATTAGAGATAACCTCTAACAGTTAGGTTGGCTAATATAGCCAGCCACCTATTGACATTTGTAAACACCTATAATGTCCTTTATGGGCAATAACCGCAGACTTTCTGGAAAACCCCGCATCTCAATCCCAAAAGAAAAACCACACTGCTCTCTTGATGGTACAATTTTGCACTTTACAGTGACAGCTTTGCCGTACCTGACCCTTGAATCCCTCCGCGGCCTTCTTAAACTGGTCCATTTTGTCCTGGAAGTCTGAGGCAGCTTTGGGCAGGAACATGAGGATGTGGGACTTGATGTCTCCGCCGAAGATTTTAGGGGCAGTCTGGAGAAAACAGTTTGACACGTGAGGAAAACATCTGGAGTGCGGACAGCATTATGGTGTGAGAAAAAGGGATCTAAACGCTGTGAGCAGCCCCATCGATTACCTGCTCGGTGAACTCAATGACCAGGGGCAGCTGGTTGGCCTTGACAAAGGACTGAAGCGCTTCTTTGGTCAGCTCACCATCGAAGGTATTGCGTCCCTCATCAAACTGCAAAGGAAACATAGAAACATTTTAGTTGCAAATATTACCCACCTGGTGTCACATCTAGTCTGCCTGTGAACACCGGACATAGATTTCCCAGACGAAGCACTTTAAAGTCGCCCGGTAACCCCCAGCAGACCGAAGAGACTTTTATCGGTTGTTAAGAATAGCAGTGGTGCAGCTGTGCCAGGCAGCTCTTACTGGCACAATAGCAGAGAGGAAATTTGGCCTGTGGCGTACTGCCAGCCTGAATGGCACTGAAACTTAAGCTCCAAAATCCTCGGTCAAATAAACAAGTGAAAGACTCCCAGCTGTTTATTAAAACCGAGCCCCTGCTTTGGGAGCGTTTGCTTAAGAGCTGCCCACATGTCCGCGATGTTTGTGCCAGTATGAAGTTACCAACAGGTTTCAGAGGCCAGACAATGGCACGAGGAGGACTAAGCACTTGTACATGTGCCAGATCACCCAACACCCTAAGGGCCGAACACTTATGTTGTGAAGTTGCTTCATGCTGCAGCAACAAGGACTGCATGAAATTGTTTGTTTGTTTTTTAAATTACAGATCACCTCCCAACTATCAAACAAGGACAGAGCTGCCTGTTATTAATTTATTAAATACACACCGATGTCAGAAATAGGCCAGTAGCTGTCCTGCAGTGCGTGGACACACACGTGCAGTGTCACAGTTTAAGGTTAGGTTTGAAAATACAGTTATTGTGTTTGCAAGATTACTTTCCATCTATCAAGATAGATAACGCTGCTTTCCTGTCTCTGCTGACAGCATAAAGCTATGAAAAACTCAACATGCCATTGGTTTAGAAACCTGAAGCTTCAGATAATGTTTCCAACAACATTAAAACTGAAGCGTTCTAGTCAATTAGTAACACTTTGCTCCGAGTGTTATTTTTTTTTTTTTAGAGGTGGCTCTAAATACTGACAAACTGGCAGCACTCGCAGGGCAAAATGTTCGACACCAGCCAAATCCACCCCCCCCCCTTTGCCATTAAAAAAAAAAAAAAAAAACAACAACAGTGGTACACTTAAAAATAATCACCCTTGATGCGGTTTAAAGTTTTGGGTGCGATCACTACGATTAACCGGTGTGATTAAGCTGCCTGCTCGACCTCAACTCGATTATTCTGTCAAACCGGATCTCTGCACCTTGTTTGTGTTAACATTGTTTGCTGTGCTGCAGCAGTTTAAGTTTATGCTTTACTTCTTCTCTGTGTTGTACCATCACAATTTACAGATGCAGCTATCTAACAGAGCTTCCTAGTGTCAGCTGTTTGTCATTTCAGCCGCCTTTGGCTCCAAAAACTAACATGGCAGCAACCACTGCACCAAGGGTTAGTCCAGAAACCAACGCAAGGCATCACAGCAGCTTTTAAATTTGAGTCGAGCTTCCAGGATTTGCTCATAGTTCAGATTTTGCTGTGTGAAAATGTTTCGGTTTCTTGAGTTTCACTGTTGATCATTGCTCAGGGGAAAAACTCATGTAGACACCAAAACATCTGAATAAACACGTTCAACAAAGTGACCAGGCAGGAGGTGCTGGCACATTTTACCAAACTGACAACCACTAAAACTAAAATGATATGAACTACAGTATTTTAGCTTTAGGTACACATTACTGTTTCAGTTTTTTCTAAACTCTAGTTTGTTTTTATTTTAGTGAAAATGTTTTCAAACCCATTTTTTAAATCAAGCAATCTGCCATTGTTTTCACATGTTCTTTAAATTTGAGCTCTTTTGAATTTATGTAACTGACATGATTTTGAGGTTAACATTGACATCATGTGAACACGCTCGGCCAATAAAACATCCACAGACTTTTCGTAACTGATATTTGCATTGTAATTGATATTGTAAATTTTCAGCGGTTTTCATTTCCGTAGGTTCCTCGTGTTACATGATTGCCAACGCACCACTTCTGAAAGATCCTCTGGACTTTGACTCAATCTGATGAATCAACAGGCTGAAGATAAACTGATCTCTGACCAACTGCACATGAGATGGCTGTAGTTAATGACCTCTTGTGTAAATTATAGTGAGTTTTATTACCTATACAGGCTTATAGGAAGGCATTCAAATTACATGCATTCATCCTCTGCCTTTAGCCAACGGGAGCTGCTTGGAGGACAGACAGTAACCTAACAACATGCACGACAGTGAGGGCGAGCAAAGTGCACGTCTTAAACGTTCAAGTAGCTCAAACGAGCCACGTTTAGCACCGGAGAGCGGATACTGTGGGTTCAACAGCATCAAATTACAGAGGTGTGGATCAGAGACACAGCTGTGGCGTCTTCTGCAGCTCCACTGTAAATACTCACACATGGAAGTGCGTTTCACAGGCACAAACAACATATTTACAATGTATTCCGATTACACCTCAGACTGAGTAACAGCTTTAGATGAAGTCAGTAAGAGAACCATGTCTTCCTGATGTCCTGTGAACACAGTTTGTCCACATGTTTGTGTACAAACAGACGCAAGAGAATATTTGAGAGTCACCTTCTTGAAGAGGACAACGCTGTCCTTGGACACTTCAAACTTGGAGTAAATGGCATCGCTGGAGGTCTTGGCGAAGGGAATGTCATCTATGGCCTGAGCTGCTTTTTCATAGGCCTGGGCACCAGCAGACTCTGCATCCTAAAAGACAAACAGCAATCCTCTGATTGAAACTTGCAGTAGCTTCAACCTCTGCTTTGATTGCAACACGACAATGTATGTATATTTTTAAAGGAAAGGCAGGAATTGGGACTAATCTTCTGCTTTTAGAGATGATACCGTAAACACATTTCAGTTATAGAGATCCGAATCGCACCTTGAAGAATCCGATGACTGCCACCTCATTATCAGCGATCAGAGACTCTGCGTCGGTGACCTCATTCAGGGTGGCGACGGCGGGCCCTGTGCGCTTCTTCAGCCAGTTGACGATGTCATCCGCCTGCCTGCCAGCTGAAACAAAACAGTAATTCAGGCTTTTTAGTTTGGATTTCAATAGAAATAGCTGATCTTGAGGGGGGGGGGGGGGATGGGTACATGAATATTAATTTGAAAAACATCTATGTGCCTGCCTCTTCTTTGCCCACCTAGTTGAACCAGAGCTACGAGTCAGAGCAGTGCTAAATTTCATTACATTTAGATGAGCCGTTAGAATATTGTTGAAAGCAGTTTTGTAAGAGCCAAACTGTTACCCAAACACAGTCTAACTTTAACCAGCAACAGTCTTAAACAAAATGAAGTCAACACCAGTGCTAAATACCACCAGTTCCTCGACTGGCCATTAAAGGCTCCATTAATTCCCATAAACGTCCAACTTCACAATACACAAAAAAGGCCCGTCAGTAAAGTTTCAGAAATTTACATTTTCATAAATCTTACATGACACAAATTACCTGGGATCTGTGTCTGTGCAGCGCACCTGTACGTTTTTATGAAGGCAGCTTGTCAACAATGAACACTAGCATCAGCTGATTACGTGGCACACTACCATCTCAACCAAGCATGATTATAAATAAAAATATACCAACAAACAAAATACCAACTTTACATTGCATGCATGTTTTTGTATTGAGGACATACCCTACAGTCTGTGTATAAAAACACGTGCATATTTTATTTAATTTGTCCTTTTTGGCCTGAATTTGTTTTCGTTACAGCAAACCACTCACATCATCAGGAGTTTTAAGAAAGGTGCAATTGCATGCTGAACAGGGACAATCACATTTTTAAAGAGTTTACTCTCACAATCACCTCTGTATCCCCAAAAACATTAGTAACACTATGCCTAAAAATTCAGTGCACCAATTAGTTTTAAGTACAAAACTATTTAAAAAGCACCAATGGATCAGGCAGACCTTGAAATTTTTTGGGGGCGTGAGATTGAAGTGAATTTGCACAGCACTTCCTGTGGTCACACGTAACACACGGAGGCAACCGACTCACTTTATGGGTGTGAACATTTAAGCGCCTTTGCCAGTTAAAATTTTTGCACTTCTGCAATTTCTGAAACCTAACTGCTCTTTACAACTTCAACTCAGGCTCAGTCGTTTCCCCTTTCATATTCAAGTACCTCAGCAGTTTAATCACCACACAATGATTGAAAAATATAAAACTGTACGCCACATTTGTGAGGCCGTTAAAACATGTTTACTTTCTGTGGGTTTTACTTAAACTGGACTTAAAAGAGGTTGGACCTGTGATGCAACAGCAGTTTCACTATGAAAACGATGAGGCGATTCAGCACGTAGTCTTTATGCAGCACTTTGAGGTTTCAGGCAGTGCGTGGGAGACGGGAGGCGGCTTTTATTTTTTTAAAGTCAGAGTAGTCGTTTCCACAAAAGCACTTCCCAACCTGCTCTCTTCTCCTCCAGCTGAAAACTGAGTCAGGCCAGCAGAGGAGACGTGAAGAAATGCACATACCTCGACCACGTCCCAGAGGCAGCGTGAGGGGAACGTGCGGAGCAAGGCCCACCCACTGCCCGTCTAATGCAGCCGATTGGCTGGCTCATGTTTAGGCTGCTGTGCAGATCATATTACTTAGGAGTCACTCGGGCCCGGCTTCAGCAATTTAATCTAAACCCCTAACCCTGTAATAACATCATTTTTATGACATAATAGTCACTACGCTGAGACAGAACTTACTTAAGATTGCATCATTTCAGAGGCAAGACCAATTCATCAAAGAGCATTGAAGGAGAAAAGTCACAAAGCAGCAATGCACCATCAGCTCAGTATTTTAGCACCAGCTGAGAAACATGATGAATGATGCTAAAATAAATACTATAAAAGTAGATGTGTAGATGTGATTCTTGCTAAAGCTAAAAAATAAATAAAGTGAAAGTCAACAGTTTCTAAAACTACTACAAGCTACTTTCAGGTGCTCCCTTATTCACAGGAGATCGTCACAGCGGGTAACTCTGCACGTTTGACAGATTTTTACACCGGTGCCCTTCCTGAAGCAACCCCCAGGGGATTGGTGTCTCCTCCCAATACTACAAAGACAAGTATTGTAGATGTGTAACAAAGGATAAACTTCAGATTTCTCATCAGTTATTCCCAAAGTGTGTAGTTCATATAAATTTCATCATGAGGCAGAAATTAAACTAAAGGATGAACATTTAGGATATCAGTTTGTGTTGTGCTGTTTCTATTATACTGCATGTAAAACAGGTCGGTGGAATGAACCAAATATTCATACCAATTTATCTTCTTCACATTTAATTAAAGTGTTCAATTATATATTTATGTTTTTTCTGGTTGTTGACACTTCAGAAAAACTAAAAACAATTGAAATAATAAACCTCTCCACATGAAACTATGATACGACCATCTGGTTTAACCACAGGATGATTAAAATTTACTTTAAGAGTCCTGCAGCTTGCCATCCTTTATGAGTCAGCTACTGTTAATTAAAGCTGATGTTTCTGCTTAAATATGAAAAATGATCATGTGATGGATGAATCAGGAAGGAAATTGTGTAACTGATAAGACTCGATCAGGAAGCTGACGTGGAAGTTTGTCATCTTTCCATAAGTCCATCCTTCCCCGAGCTGACGGGGACCTATGCAAGTAGTTGACTAGATGACTAAACGTTACTGCACTCACTACACTTAAATTATTCTTGTTTTATAAACAGCATGGATGTAGACTTCTTTCTACGAGGGCTCTGGTGATCCTACCCCAGAAATGTTTTAATCCACCGTTCTGTTTTATATTAGGCCGTTTGCGTATTTTGATTTAGCAGGAATCCTGCTCGTGTGTGTATACGACACCTGTTCACAGCAATGAAACTTCCTAATTATTTAACAAATTTTGGCTTTTATTAGCTTGTTTATGCAACATTTCTACTCCTGTACAAAACATCTGAGCCTTCCTTGTGTCTGTGTTTTGGTTTGACTTTTAGAAATAATGTTCTTCTGATGTTATCACATCTGAAAACAAGGATAGGCTACATTTAGCATGGGGGCAACAAACAAGAATACCTGTAAACCCCCAGAAACAGTCACTTATAACTTAATTGGCTTCGTCCTCTGAAAAAGTCCCAATGCTGGAGCTTCTGTTCCTTTATGTTTGTCATCCTGCTAGAACAGAGGCAGTACAGACACTGATAACCAAAGCAGATTCATGACGGTCATCGAGTACAGACTCACTGCTGAAGGAAACGAGATGCTTTCTCGTTTTAATAATCATTTATGCTCGCTGTTATAGTGCGAGTAGACGCTGCAGTATGCTCCTTAATGACACGTGTCACCCCCAAGGTAATATGTCCCTTTGTATAGTCTGAATCTCTGAACTTTAGTACAGATATAATTTAGAAATGGACACAATCACCTCTGTCTTTAAAATGCCAAGTTACAAAGGTCGAGAGGGCCACGACCAGCTGAAACGGCAGCTTGACAGCGTGTGTATGTGAATAACTCAGTGTTAACCGTTTAAATGCTTTTACTTCCCCCCCCTCACTCCTATTTTAATTACTTGGAAATCAGCAGCCAGGAACAACTATGGTCCACCCCAATTTTTAAACTAAAACTTATGAATGAAACGCATCCATCCCCACTCACCTGAGTACTCTTTGGGAGATTCCTTGTCTCCACCCTTGAAGAACTTGATGGTGGGGTATCCTCGGACGCCGTACTCTTGGGCGAGTTCGGTTTCCTCTGTGGCGTCCACTTTAGCCAGGCGGATGTCTGAACTCTCTGCCTTCAGCATGCCAGCAGCCTTGGCATACTCTGGAGCCAGGGCCTTGCAGTGACCGCACCATGGGGCATCTGAGGAAACCACACAGAGAAAGGTTTGTATTGCTACTGAGAATGATATCAGATCATAATGGTGGAAAACAAAAATGTGACAAAGAACAAAAGACCACATGAGAATTTGTATTAATCAGCAAATTAAAAAGCTACATTCATCCAAACTATCCATCGGCCATTTCCGCATCACCTTCTGTCCTTGGGGATGGTTCATAAGATTTAATTTGTAGTCAGTTCTGATGATAGGTTCAGTTCTTTAGAGAATATTTTACTGACGCCAGATCTTTTCTGTGGAGCTTAGTTTTCTTTTTTTGCCTCAGTGCTTCTGTGATGAAAAATATGTAGAGACTGTAGAAAGTCTATTGACATAGGACTTGGATTTTCAAAAGCTCAACTGCAATGAGCCTGATGTCTTTTTGCAAAATTGTTGCTGTCAGAAAACGACAGCAGCACTGATGAAAGTGCTCGAGTGCCTGGAGGCATTCGATCCTGATTGATAGGACACTCCAAAGTGGTTCAGAATTTCCATCCCCATTTCATCTCTTGGATCCAGCTTCACAAATTTGTACAATTTGATTTTTGCTCAAGGATGGTGTGTCAGTGGGATTAAAGTATTTGAGTCTCTCTTCGCTTGGCACAAAGGGATAATAAAGAGGTTTTCCTAAACAATCAATTATGTTTATCATCATTTAAACAAACAAACAAAAAACAAACATGGCCAATATAGTGTCCTGTTATTCTATAGTGAAAATATCTGAATGTTTTAGAGCAACTTAAAGTGAAATTAGCAGCTTTCTTAAAGGACGCGTGTACTTTTAATGATTCCCTTAAGAATCCATAATATATCTGTATGTGGATGAGGAGGGTAGCTTGGTGGTTCAATCCCTGACTCCTTCAGTCTGTATATTAAACATCCTTAGACAAGATACAGAAATCAGAGTTGAGACTGTGTGCGAGTGCCTGACTTAGTGTGGCTCATAGTAAAAAATACTTTGAATGCTCAATTAGAAGGCACCATTGAAATATCACTAATTTACCAAAATAAAAAAAAATTATGAAACTGGGAGGTGTGTGTGTGTGTGTGTGTGTGTGTGTCTATGTCTGTGTGTGTGTGTGTGTGTCTGTGTGTGTGTGTGTGTCTCGGTGCGTGGGGGAGCTTGCAAGAGAAAAACCTTTTCCAATATTAAAGTTGCACATTTAAATGTTTCCAGGATTAAAATAATAATAACTTGAAGACTAAGATCAGATAATCTTAGATTATAAAGACAATTTTGCTGAAGAAGTGTACTTATACACTTGGAACCGATAAACCTGCTTATCAGAAAGGCCACGTCAACTAATGACCTCATTTTTTAAAACGTATTGACAAAGAACTAAACTTCCTTGTACCACTCGGGTCATTACAAACACACACAGTTGAACTTTTGTGAAGTACACGTCAACCTAGCTCCATGCACGCAGAGATCCCGCCCAGCTGAGGAGGACGTGGGCGAACAAAGCCCTTCATCCCTCCCATCCCGAGAGCCGACTAGTCCAATCAGCTGTCACACACTTTGTGAAAGAGGTCAACAATCAGACAAAAGTGAAGCGGGACGGGCCTGCAAAGCCCAAACTAACCAGTTTAATAAGCCAATTCAATCGGGAAATGAATTATCAGGAGGTGCAAGAAAAGCGAAAGCTACCGCATGAAACCGCAACAGCCGATCGAAACCTATCTTGACCAATTTATCTGCTCTCCACCATCCCAGCTTTCCTGCATTTTACAATTTGGCGACTCAAATTAAGGGGGAAATTTTGTAATAATAAAAAAAACACCACCTTATTAAAAAAACTCGCTATATTTCCCCGATTATAAGATACACTAAATACTCAGAACTAACACAGACTTCTCTAACTTCAGAGAAGACTCACTGCCTTTTGCTATGTGCACAGCAACTTCCTCAGACACCCCCAAAGGCCCAATTTGAGGCGTGCAAAACCCCCCTTTGTGGCCTTAATAATGCTCTTAAAGCAACAGATGTATCTTAAGTACGGCACTGCACAATTTCTATACAATTCACCAGAGATAAAGCTAATTTAAGGAAATACTATATTCGCACAGATGTTACAAACTGGTTGAGGTTTGCAGAAAATAAATCTGAGGGTCACAGCCAAGTTTTGCCTCCGCGGCAGAGTCCCGTTACACTTCGGTGTTAGCTTGACTACTTTTACCATCACAGCGAGAAAACAGCCCGATGATCAAGGCTCTCTGTTTCATTAAAGGAATAACTACAGCAGCTCTGTAGCTCGGTGAATTACAGTCACGCATGAACGCAAAACCAAACCCAACGTCGGTGAGTTAGCTAACCAGCAGCAACTTATCTCAAGTGTCAAAGTTTAATGCTAACATTATGTCAGGCTTAACTCGGCTAGCTTAGCTCTGCACGAGCTGAGACCGCAGCGGGAGGCTTAGCTTGAGCTGGAGACCTTTTAAAAGCAGTCAGAACCACTTACAGAACTCAACCAGGATGTTGGGGTGAGCCTGGAGAGCCTCGTCGAAGTTACTCTTCTTCAGCACCAGGACATCTTCTTCCTCGGCTATCTCAGCGTTGATGGCCACAGCCAGTGTGCAGAAAATCAGAAACTTCAACATCGTCGCCGTCGAGTTTTCTTCCCTAAAATAGACGAAAGGTTCAGACGAGCTCGGCTACGGCTGTGGTGGAGGAACAGGTGTTAGTTTCAAGTCCGTTTCCCCTCGTTTAAGGTTGGGAGAGTAGCTGGTATTTTGTGTCTACCGCTACTAACGTGGCAGTGCACGCAGAAACCGGAGGGTCAGGCGTAGTGCGCATGCGCCTTTATGAGGCAGAAAGCAGTTCGTGTTGAATTGTGACTGGATCGCAGCGGGCTGCACCTGGAAGTGAAAGAGAGGCGCTCCCTGCACACATCAGTCCGCCGAGAGCAGGAAAACTAGATGGGAAGCTTTTAACTGCCCACACTTTTTAAACAGGGAAACAAACTCAACTATGTAATCATATTTTATAGATTTACTTTATTAGAGCACATTACAGCGCACGAACCACGAGTGCAATATGTGAAATACAGTATAGTGAAACATCGGAATTCACTGAATGCCTTTTCTTTTTTTCGGCTCTTGGCTGTGGGGTGAATATGAGTGTAAACTGATGCAACCAGCTGGGGGTTGGAAACTGGGTATTTGCAAAGAGGACGGAGCAAAGTCCATTGTTCTTGACAATGACAATAAATAAATACTACTACTATTTTACTACTAAAGTCTGAATGACTAACGCTTATCTGCCACACTGATTTTTACATTAACACCTCCATTGCAGCCTGGTTTGACAACAAAACTGAACAAATAAACGGAACTTTCTGTACTCACTCTGGATAATCCCCAGAACGCTGTGTCAATAGTTGGTGAAAGGGAAATCTGGTGGGATGGTGCTACAGAAATCTTTGCAATACACATATTTTAAACCAAATAAAACCAAAACTGCTGCGATGGTGAGATACAGGCATACATGAGAACATTACTTGTGAAAATCAGTCATTTGAGAAAATTTTAGTGTATGTTTTACAACCTTCTTTACTAAGAAGTCAGGACACACTGTAAAATGTCAAGAAAAGTGCAATGTGATTATCTATAAATTATCAAAAGCCCTTTAGTTGATTCAAACCAGATGAAAGACAATGTTTAAAGTGAGAAGTGTTCTTTTTTTCAAAAATCATGCTATTAAAAAAAAATTCCAACAAAACATTTTAAATATGTTATGAGGCATGTTTACCACTGTGTTGCATCACTGCGTTCAGGAACGGATGGACATCAGTTCCTGGAGATTCAAAGCCAAATGTTTTCACATTTTTCAGTGCATCTTAATTCATATTTATTGCTCTATAGTTGCAAGCATGCAGTTTAGAACCCAGACACTCTCTTTTATTGAATATGTGCAGAATGAAGTTTTGCATTGTCTTCCTGAAAAGGTGTCATCTAGATGAATGCCATTATATGTGGTTGCAAAACCTGTATGTATTGTTCAGCAGATTTAGTGCCACGTGTACTAATGCACCCACAGTCACAGATACTGGTTGTTAAACTGTGTGCTAGTAACAAGCTGGATAGTTTATCCAGCTTGTTACTATATATATATATATATGTCAGCTCATCTATATATATACTATATATAGATGAGCTGACATGAGCATTAAAAACAACCTACTGTAGAATAAAATATTAATATAATTATTGTGACAAAACAAAACTGGCTCAGAGGGTAAAGCATGCACCATTGAAAAGGGGAAGTAGGTAAAAAATAGAAAAAAAAAGAAAATGACATAAAAATAACAGCCTAAAGATTGTAGAAATTTGTGTTCACTTTTTTTAAGTATTAATTTTGTAGTTTTAAATGAGTATTCCTGAAACACTGCTACGATTTCCACCGCAGAATAAAGTGTGTTTTCAGTGCAGTTCTGTCTGATGGCCTGAACATCATGGCCAGTTAGAAAAGTTAACAGGGAATACGAAATTGCCACAATAAACTGGTGAAATTGACATTACAAACCTTTTCCTGAAGTTTTTGTAAGTGCTCCCTGTTGGTAGTCAACATTGGAGTTACATGATTTTTGTCTTAGCAGCACAGATGAGTTCACTAGGAGGAAACATCTGCTTCAGACATTCATCTTTATGCGCTCCAAGCAGACATTTTGGGGATTCTTAAAAGAATATAATGGCCAGACTGCTTCAAGCTGATGGTTACTTCAACAGTTAAAACCAATAACCGCTGGTTACAACCAAACCTTGATGGGCTACAGCAGCAGTAGACCACACCAGCTGCCAGTTTCTTGTTCCTAGCTGCCACACATGTCAGCTAGGAACAAGAAACTGAGGCTAAAATTCACATGGGCTCAACAAAATTGCCAGACTGAAAAGACTTTGCTTGATCTGCTGACTTGCGATTTGGATGGTAGGGCCACATTTTTCATGTAAACAACATGAACGCAGGGATCCATTCTGCCTTGTATCAATAGTTAGGGCTGAGTATTATTTAAACTCAACAGCGTCCCTGAGTATTGTTGCTCACCATGTCCATCGCTGCATCACCACAGTGTATTCATCTTCTGATGACTGCTTCCAGCAGGATAACACACCATGTCACAAAGCTTAAACTTAAAGTGTCCCAACTTTTTTGGAAACAGTGTTGAATTTGCTAGTATCAGTAATTAATAACCATATTTTAAATATTGGCATTAATAGGATTATTTTTAAACTATCATTTCAACTTGGTGCTTTTTTAAACAAAGAGACGATGCTTGGTTAACTGGCAGAATTTAGACCTTTACTTGAGAAAGCCACTGAAAAACTGTGTTACTGCAGCTTGAGGCACAAACAACAAATGCTGCTGAGGACAAAGAGAAAGTTAAAAAGTTCAAGAATATACGCAGGACACTGTGGCATGTTTTTATCACAGAGAGCGAACTTCATCTGCAGGTCACTTCGAATATTTTACATAAACAGATATGTTCATGGCACCACAGGGTTTTTTGGATATACTATATGTTGCAGGTGTCTGTGCAGTATAATATATGAATGCTTCAGTGAGGAACGAGAAAAGCAGTTCAGCAGGTATAGTCGGTGCTTATGTTTGGAAACACAGCGGGGCAGGCTCGACTGGTGGAGGTTAAGAAAACATTTTAAAAAGAGGGTGCAGCCAATTCTGCTGAAACCATAACGCAAACAGTTAAAGATTAGGAATGATAAATATGTGCACACAATCAAACAGGCAGCACGTGTAGTTTTCTTATTATAGGTCACCACTCGCTTGGTTAGACTCCCAGATTGCTAAAGCAATGACATAACTGTCACATCTTCTATCACAGTAGCTACAGGCACACGTTTATTTTATACAATCATACAAAGCCGGTACTTATTTGAGGCCAAACTGAAATACATAACCCATTCAAATGCAGAATAAATGAACATCTGGTGGTGAGTAAGCACATAAAATGTAACAATGTGGAACATTATATCTAAATTATAGGGTCTTTCATAGCTCAGACTGGTCTCTGATAGAGAAGAGTAAATTGGTAAACCACTCACAACTTCACAACTTCCACCAGTAAAGGATTTCATTAGGAAGTATCAGTGTTGTCGAAAAAAGACGTGATCCAGAAGTATTTAATGTCTGGGGACTCAAAAACACAAAGAGACTGGTGTTTAACCCCATAAACACCCTGAATTTTTCAAATGTTCACATTAAGAACACTCCCACATTTGTTCTGTAACAGGGCCTCAGCAGTAAGTCCCTAATAATCAACTTTGGCAGAAGTTTGAGATTAAAATAAGTAATCTTGTCCCCATCGCTGCGTTCAAGTGAGAGTTTTAAAACTGCTGCAAAAATAAATTTCATTCTAATTAAACAGAAGTGTATGTTTGACAGTAGATGTAATGGTTCTAACGGTGATTCAGTGATACTGACACATGCCACTGGTCCTAAACCGTTTCTAAAAAAAAGAAGGAGAAGCAGCACAACAATTCTGCACTCATTTAGTCACAGTAATACAAATGGTAAATGGCCTGTATTTATATAGCGCTTTACTAGTCCCTAAGGACCCCAAAGCACTTAACACATCCAGTCATCCACCCATTCACACACACATTCACACACTGGTGATGGCAGCTACATTTTAGCCACAGCCACCCTGGGGCGCACTGACAGAGGCGAGGCTGCCGGACACTGGCGCCACCGGGCCCTCTGACCACCACCAGTAGGCAACGGGTGAAGTGTCTTGCCCAAGGACACAACGACCGAGACTGTCCAAGCCGGGGCTCGAACCGGCAACCTTCCGATTACAAGGCGAACTCCCAACTCTTGAGCCACGATCGCCCATACAAGCAGGAGCAATAATCATGCCACACTCTGGAACCTTCGAAACAGGGTGGCAGGTTGACTTTTGATAACAGATATGACCTGATACTGCACCTCCAGTGTGGAAACAGTCAAAACAACACAAGCTGATATAAGCTGACAGACTACAGTCTATATATGGACCTAGATCCAAAAATATTAGATTCTAAAAGACTTATAATAAACCTTGATAGCTTAATTTTTTACTGTTAAAGAGTCATGTCAAATAAAAATTGCATTAGAAACAACTTACAGGACTACACATAATAAGATGACTCATGATGACCAAGGCAAAAGTCAGAACATTATCCAGACTGGCTGATGTGAGGAGCCTCTTTATGCCGTAATATTCAGCTCTATCAGAGCTTTCAGAAAAGTCACTTTCGCAGTTTTATTTTCTGACATGCTTACGTAATCGCTGTTAACGCCTCTAAGTTTCCTCAGAGCTCTCTATCTGATAACCGATGAACGTGGGATTAGTTCCCTTCTGTCAGTGACCGCTCATGTTTTTCTAGTTTCTAAAAGTAGAATGGGAGGCAGAGCCTTCAGGGATCAGGCCCCTCTACTCGGGAACCAGCTCCCAGTCAGGATTCAGGAAACAGACGCACTCTTTACTTTTAGGATCAGGCTTTAAACTTTCCTTTTTATTAAAGCTGATGTTAGTGTTGAATCAGGTGACCCTGAACTGTCTCTTAGTTTCTGCAGAACTTCCCATGATGCACTGAGCACTTCTTCACTCACCTCTTTTGATTCCTCAGATGTTGATACATTTCTCTACACCTTACTGGTCACTGCAGATGGCTGCCCCTCGCTGAGCCTGGCTCTGCTGGAAGTTTCTTCCTATTAAAAGTGAATTTTTCATTCCCTCTGTCGCAAAATGGTTACTCATAGGGGTTCATTTGATACCTGAGGTTTTCTCCAGAATCCTGTACAGTATAAA